TTTTTTTGAGGTTTCAATATGTGATGCTTACATGCTTGCTCTCAGCTACCAGTACTTCTGTTTTCATGTCAATCTCTCAAACATTGGCTGAGTAAAATGCCTTTAAAAATAGTTTTGGCGGCCATCTTGGATTTTTATTTCGGCTTCAATTTATGATAGAGCTAAGTCTCAGCTACCAGTATATTCGTTTTAGCTCAATATAYCAAAAATTGGTCAAAATCAAGTAATWTGAAATAATTTTAGCTAATATAAGCTAAACATTAGCTAAAATTGCAGCAAATAGCTGGATATTTTGGAATGCAACTGTAAGAAGAAAAACAGCTCAAATTAGCAGAAAAAAGTATAACAAAGCAGAAAAACAGAAGAAWAGCAGAAAGAAATGAAATTTTAGCTGATATATCAGCAAAAAGCTAATTAGCATAAAATAGCTAAAGGTAGCAAACTGAAGTTGAAAGTTGCACACAGATGGTGAAATGGATGTAACAAATTCAAATTTAGCAGAAAAMACAYAAAACTACTAAAAAGWGATCATTTAAAGTAAAAGAGGTAAAACAGCCAAAGTTTTCTGTAAAACAGCTTAAAAGTAGATGGAAACATTTTAATTAGCATAAGGATGCATAAGGAGCACAAGTTTGCTGAATTTAGCAGAATTCAATTGAAATTGCTCCAAAAAATGTGTATTTAGCATAGAAAGCTAACTTTTGCTATTAACAGCTAAAATTTAGCTCTATTTGTAGCAAAAAACTGAGTATAGAAGAAAGCAACTGTAAGAAGCATAAATAGCACAATTAGCAGAAAAAGGTTTAACAAAGCAGAAAAATAGCAGAAAGAAGTAGAATTTTAGCTAATATACCAGCAAAAAGCTAAAGTTAGCATGAAAATAAGCTAAAGGTAGCAGATTCAAGTTGAGATTAACACCCAGATGGTGAAATGGTTGTAAAAAATTMAAAATTAGCAGAACAAAAACCATAAAACTACTAAAAAGTAATCGTTTGAAGTAAAATTGCTAAAACAGCCGAAGTTTTTAGTAAAATAGCTAAAAAGTAGCTGAAAATGTTTAAATTAGCATAAGGAAGCATAAGAAGCACAACTTTGAATTTAGCAGAAAAAAATTTTAATGCCTCCAAAAAAGTGCATTTAGCATTAAAAGCTAACCTTAGCTAATAACAGCTAAAATTTAGCTAAATTTGTTTAAAATAGCTCAACATAGCAGAAAGCAACAGTAAGAAGCATAAATAGTACAAATTAGCAGAAAAAGTATAATAAAGCAGAAGAAAAGCAGAATAGCAGAAAGAAGTAGAATTTTAGCTGAAATAGCAGAAAACAGCTAAAATTAGCAAAAAAAAACTAGCTAAAATTTGAACAAGAGAGTAAAATAGAGCATAACCAGAACAAACTGTGTAAGGT